ACTTTCTAGACTATTGTTACCACTGCCTTCAGGTCCAGTACTAGAGTTAAAACCTATGTTCCCCTTTTTTCTCTTCTCTAAAAAATTGTTGTGGCACACAGAGCCTATCTGTGAAACTGCTGGACTTTCACAGTGAACGTATAAAGTTTCTTACTGCTTTGTAATTCTACACTGGGTTACTAGCGTGAAAGCCTGAAAGGGGAAAAAGCTTAACTAACACCTTCTAAATTCTACATAAATGGCATCAAGTTTGTATTTTTTTTTTAATTTTATTTCAGTGAACACAATGGTTTTGCAGCTCATCCATGTTGCATCTGTTACTTTTTCATTTTTCATGGCTGAGTCGTAGTCATTATGGGAATATCCCTGCTTATTTATCTAATCGCTGTTCATTGACATTTGAGTTATTTCCAGTTTTAAGCTATTACAGCTGAAACTAGGAGCATTCATGTACAAGTCCTTCTATGGACAAAGACTTTCAGTCCCTCGGGCAAATACCAAGGAGAGTAGTTGGCTTATATGGTAGGTATAAGTTCAGCGTCTTAAGAAACTTTTCTAAGAAAGTTAAACAGTTTTATGTTCCCACCAAATGTATATGAGAATTACAGTTTATATATCTTATAATCAAGTTCTTTGAAATATATTTTGCAGATGGCTTACCTTTTCATTTTGCTAAGTCTGTTTTGACGAGAAAATACTTTTATTTTTCATGAAGTCCAAGTTACTGGGTTTTTTTTTTCATAATTTATGCCTTTGTATTTTGTTTGTTTCTTTGTGAGTCAGGATTGAATCCAGGGTCTTTGCCCTGAGGTACATCCTCTGCCCATTTTACTTTGGAACAGGGTCTTACCAGTTGCTAAGTTGTGGTCCTTCTGCCTCAGCTTCCCAAAGTGCCAGAATTGTGGGTGTGTGCCACACCCCTGACTGTGTGTACTATTAGAAACTCTTTGGGCTGGGGATTTAGCTCAGTGATTCCACCGCCTGCCTTGCAAGTGCAAGGTCCCAAGTTCGAGCCCCAGTACAAAAAAAAAACCTCTTTGCCAAACCCAAATGACTAAGATTTTCTTCTATATTTTCTTCCATAAATTTTGTAATTGAAGGCCTGTCATTTAGGTCTGTGATGCATCTTGGGCTGAATTTTAGATGTTTTGAGATACAACGGTCAAGGTTCATTTTCATAACTTAATCTTTGGAAGGCTTTTCTGTCTGCCCACTCTCTTGGTGGGCTTATCTAGTCGTGTGGCTGTATATATCATCTGTATGCCGATGATTCCCCAGTGACAATTCCAGTGCAGGCTGCGGTAGCAAAGGCGTCTGAAACTTCTCCCAGACTGACCTTTCCTTCTCCTCCATGCCTTCTGCTCTCACAGTTTTCCAACTTCGGTGTATAGCAGCTTCATTCTTTCAGTTGCTTAGGACAAAAGCCTTGGCATCATCTTTGACTCTTCCCTTTCTCTTACCCCCTCGGACTCAACCTGTCCCAGACCCTGTCAGTGCCCTCCCATTCTGTTCAGAAGGACGTCTCATCACCCCGTCTGGTACCACAGGAGTCCCCTTCACCGGGCCTACTATCTTAACAGGCCGCTCCGCTTCACCCTGCATGTTTAGTATTTACTAAATAAACTCAGATATTGGCATTTTTCTGCTCAGACCTTTCCAGCGGCCCTTGTCAGCACTCAGAAATGGAGCCAGTCCCGGTGATGAGAGCAAAGGGCCTGCGCCTGCCGGCCCCATTACGTGCCTGACAGACCCTTTCTCAGCTTTGCTTAGTACAGGGCCTTGGTACTGCTGCTTCCTTACCCAGCACACTGCCTACCTCAGGACCTTTGTTCTTGCTATTTTCCCTGCCTATAGCATTTCTCCTCCAGATATCTTAGGGCTTATTCATTCACTTCCTTAGGCTTTTATTTAGCTGTCACTCAGCCCAATTTCCCCAGCCTTCCTTTTAATTTGCAACATACCCACATATTCCCCAGTGCTGATTTTTCTCTGTAACATATATCACTGTCCAACATACTGTGCATTTTTTTTTCTGCGTTTTTGTTTTTTAAATTAACATTTGAATCCATGTTTGTGATACATCCTGAATGTATTCATGGTGGAGTATTACTACATACACATATCACATCTTCCTCTTCCTCTTCCCTTCCGTGTTTCTCTTTCCTCCCTCAATAGCATATGAACTTAAGAGTAGACATGACTGTTAGGGAACTGATCATGTTAAAGTATGCTGTGACGCCGCCTCACAGGCTGTATTCTCCTGGTACCCCTTGGCTCCTAAAACGACTTCATGCCCTTATCTCTGGTTTCCCTCCCCCAAGGCCACAGTGGTTCGGGAAAGTTGAAACCTGTGTCTGCAGGACTGGGCCCATGAAAGCAATCTGGCCTGTGATAGGTTAAAGGTGACTCACTCCTCCTAAATAAACAATAGCCCAGCCCAAAACTGATAAAAGGACCTTCCTTTCTTTGTTCTCCTCTCTCTCCTTCTGCTTCTTCCTCCTCCTCTCTCTCGCTGTCTGCCTTCCTGCCTCCCGCTCACCTCCCTATAATAAAGATCTCCTGCCGGACCTCTCGGTGCGTGAGTGGCATAATTGGGTAAGGGGCACCCAAAGGGGGCTCGAGACCCCTTTCAATGACTGTCTTTTTTGTTACTCTCATACATTCCCAAGCCCTACAGTGGTCCCTGACATGTTACAGACCCTTGGGGAAATTGACTCAGTGCATGAGTAGGTGTACGGAACATTTCTGGCATTTGACTTTAATTCTGAATGTAAAGTGGGGTGTCTGTAGTTAGAACATTGTACACAATTCAGGTCCTGAAGTTAGGGTAGACAGACTTTAAAGAATGTTAAGTACATTTAAAAGAATGTTTAGCACACTGTAGCACATAGGCAAAATGTAAATTGTAACAAAAGCAACCAGAAATGGCAGCACGTTCCCATCACCCAAAGTAGAAGTGCTACAGATGCCTTTGTGCTTTGCCCTTGAGTCGGAATTTTGTCAGCTCTTCCTGTTGGTTTTCTTTCTTGAGGTCTGTTACATGTCAGGCACTACTCCAGTTTCACCACGTGTGAGTATATTGTTCAGGTGTATATACTTTTGAACTTCCTGTAAACAGGCGCCCACTCGGAGTATTCTCTGTAACTTGTTTTCCTCAATGTCCCTGAGGTCCATCTGTGCAGATGCGTGGAGTTGCGATTCATGGCATCACCATTGTATTCAAAAAGCCACAGTTTGGGCCAGAAATTGATGCTTAGTGTTCCGCTGCCTGCCTTGCAAGAGCGAGAACCCGAGTTCGATCCTGGGTACCAAAAAAAGCCACAGTTTACTTATTTGCTCTCCTATAAGGAGAGATTTGTGGTGATTTTTATGGGTTCTTTCTTTTTTCTTTCTTCCTTTTTTCCTTCTTTCTTTCTGCTGTTGACACTGAGAACAGCATGCTGTGAACGTAATTGTGCATGTGTCATAGAGCACAGTCAAGCTTTTCCTCTGCAGCAGTTTCTCAGGAATTAAATTTCATGCACATATGAATCTTTCCCTTTATAGTTAATGTTTTCAAAAATAGTTGTACATAGTTATATACCATCAGTAGTACATATGTTGTTTATCTTTCTCTTTTTCTTTTTCGGTGGTGCTAGCAACTACATCCATGCAGGGGCTTGTGCGAGTGAGGCAGGACCTCTGCGCCTGGCTGCTTCCCCAGACCCAACACTCGAGTGTTTCTTCTTTTAAGTTTCCCTAATATGGAGGGTGTAAGATGGTATCCCATGTTTTAATTTGCATTTTCCTGCTCCCTAATGAGGCTAGATGGTTTTTCGGGTGTAAGTGGCCATTCCTGTTTCCTCTTTTGGGAGTATGTTGTCCATGTTGTCTCTTAATAGGGGTGGTTTTGGTTTTCAGGAGTTGGTCACATTTTCTAGATATGCATCCTTTGTCAATGACTTATAGTGCAGATGCATTGTGTCTTCTCCCTCAATTTTAATGCTACTTTCATCCTTATGTATTAATCAGTTCTCTCCTGTCTGAGGTCACCCAGGGACTTTCTCACTCTTAAGCACATCCTGAGGTAGTGAGCTCCCTCAGACCAGGCCTAGGCCGACTGCCTACTCTCCAAAAGAGAGGCCCAGTCCCAGCCGAGGCAGAGGCCACTGCAAGCAGCTCAGCTCTAGAATTTATTTTTGGAATGAAGTGAAAAGAGAGAAAGAATACATACAAAACTACATCCTAGTTTTTAGTTAGCATCATAGCTTAAATTTTTTAAACAAACATTAAAATCATTCTAGCTCAATTGATGGGTAGATCAGAATGTATTTTATACTTTGTCAAGCAGTCTGAAAACAATTTGATTCACATGTTTCTAGTGGTTTACTTATTTCTTTAAGAAATCCATAGAGGTGGTGTTATATACTTAAACCAATTGCCAGTAGAAGTAACAAGCAATTGAAAATAACAGAGTCTTAAGAATCCTAAATAAATTGCCTTTCTGGGTGACGTTTGCTGCCACTGTTTGATTCTTTACAAGGGGAATGCACATTAAAAAGTATCCAGACCACACATTTTTACACAAAGCTTAGCCTTAATGAGGTCCATACCTGGTATATAGCATATATTGTGTAGTAATTATAAGTTTCCCTTTTCAATATGTTAATGATTTTAATATACTTAGTTTGAGTGGGAATTTAATGATATTTTTAATTGATGCACTCAGCAATGTTTAAAGATGATTTACCAGGGTTGGGGGTTAGCTTAGTGGTAGAGTGCTCAGATATAGTCATGTGGAAGGCCTGGGTTCAACTCCTAGCACTGAAAAAAAAAAATTTTTTTTACCAAAGTATATATTTAGCATCGTTAACTGACTTCTTCCCTTTAGAGTACTGTAATTAGACATTACTAAAAAGGTTCTTCTTGTTTAATTAAGGGGTGAAGGGAATCACCTTCTGTTCCGTTGTCATTGTCATTGGTGTTAAACACTCGGTCTTGTCTCTCTGCCCTGTCCGCAGGTTAAAGTGTTGCACAATCAGCTGGTCCTTTTCCACAATGCCATTGCCGCCTACTTTGCTGGGAATCAGAAGCAGCTTGAACAGACCCTTAAACAGTTCCATATCAAATTGAAAACCCCCGGAGTGGATGCCCCATCTTGGCTTGAAGAACAGTAAAGTCTCACCTGGAAAAAAAAAAAAAAAAAGAAAGAAAGCTAAATTGTTACAGTTCTAAACAAACCTAAGGAGAGTTAATGAAGATGGAAGTGGTGAGAGTGACAACCATTGTAGTGATTCTTGCACAAACAGCTTTAATCTTTCCCTTATTCAAACCTTAACAGTTGAACTATTAAATTGATGGGAAGGTGGGTGGTTTTAATGTAGACATTATTTCTATAATTTGAACGCAATAATTTTCATTTTTGAGAAATCCTTTTGTATTTTGAGGGTTGATGGCTATTTCTGTAGTTTGAAACCATCTAATATGGATTTGCACTGACAAGGTAAAAATTTAAGATTTTTGGTCCTAGAAATGAGGGCCAATTGTAACTTTTCCAAAGGGAGGTTTATGTGATTTGTATCAATGTCAGATATTTTATATATGAATATATTAAACATCTTTATGGGAGTCATTTTCATGTATTGTTTTAAAGGAAAAAGAAACTATTTTGCAGAGTAAATTATATGGTCCTGCAGCATCCACAAAGATGGCAGTGCTAATGAATCATTGATGCCCATGGGGTTGTGGCAGATAACCTTTTTAAAATGAATCTCTACCATTGTAACTTTGTTTAGATTTTTTTTTTTTTTTTTAAGTCACAGGAATTGCACTGTCATTTCTGTGAGGCCTTTAATCTTGGGAATTTGTATCACCCAAAGTCCTTGGACAGTTACATTAGATTTTTTTCTTTTGATTTATTATGAAGCCTACTTAAGAATTTTTTTTTTAAAAGAAGTGGACTTGGGAAAGGAAATTCTTGATGGTTTCTAGAGTAGAAATGTATACATAGAAAGCTAGTTTTTGGTTAAATTCCATTTTGATAGAAATAAATTCCTAGAGAGCTTTCCTTGACTTCTGTATGTAGTAATACCATTTAAGCCTTAATCACAGATATGTGCCTTCTCAAATACAGTAATTCTTATTTAACCAATGTACATAATCCATGACAAAATCCCTTTCTGATAATGTTTGATGTGTCCTGTGTTACGGGACACTGTGTATAATTGTTGGGTTTTTCTGTTCTCATTAAATCCCATTTGAGGTTTATGGTGAAATCAACTTTGAATTTGTTATTTGGTTTCTCTTGATGCCTTTTGAAGAAGGGGAAGACAAGGATTTTTTTTATTTGAATACTGGAAACGTGGAATGAAAAGGTGTGGTGGTGACAGGAAAGGTGACTGGAAAGGCCAGTGCTGTTTTAGCCATGCGGAGCTTGGTTTCGTGTTTTGTGGTAGCCCATCTGCCTTGTAGTTCCTCAGTAATGGATTCTCTTTAAATGTAAAGTTCCTTTCATTTTTCTCATAGACCTGAATTAATATTTTAAGAGACATCTCTTTTCCTGTTTATTTTTATTGTGTTGAAATGCAGTACTTAAAATTACTGTTATACATGAACTTTGTAGATTGTAAGATTTGTTATATATGTTCAAATGCCTTTTACCTGGCTTTTTAAGTAGATGCCTATTTTGAGTGCTTAATACAATGTAATGTGACTGTAAATCATAAACTTATTTCAAATCATTCCTTCTGTACATTTGTACTTTAAAAGAGCCTTATTTTATTCTTCCAGCAGAAAACTACTTGTGATAGTTCATTTACATTCCTCAAAATGTGCCTCTAGTGTGAATTTTGTATTCTTATTAAAAGTGTATGCTGCAGTACCTTGTTTCTCTGGCCCTCATAGTTTTAAGTTAGAAGTAACTATTTGGAAATTTTGAGGACATATTTTTTTCTCCTGAAAAAATCAGGGGAAAACAACAAAAATAAAAAATGGTGCTTCTGTTACTTACAGTTGTTATGCTCAGTAAGTTATTCTTTTCCCTCTGAATCTCTTTTGGGAACTGAACAGGTCCATTCTTGGCACATTTCAGTAACAATTACAGCAGTGAAACAGCTAGTTCCATGGATTAATGGTAAAGATACCAGTGATTCTGCATTGTGATACATGTGCAAAAGAAATAAGTAAATTAGCATGCTAGCCAGTGTGGTAGGTTAGCTTGTTAGGAAAATGATTCATATTCAATATAGGAAAAGAAGGAAAATTTCATAAAAGGAAGATAATAATTAGCTCCCCACTGACCAAGAGCCTAATACACTGAAGTCAGATCTTGTACTTACCGATGTTCTTTCTGTATTACAAACTCACGTTTTGGTATCCTTTAACAGGTGTGCATTCATCTGTGCTCTCTTAGTTGACTTAGTTGCACTTTGCACACTGAGTTGGTTAATTCCTGGGCTATAGACCCAGAAGTGGAGATGGCCCTTACAATAATGTGCCCACTCCTGAGGCTGTCCTGCTTCCTCTCAAGCAGAAGGTGCCCATTCGCACCTCTGGGAGCAGGTTTTTAAAGCTCCTCAGCAGGACACCACTTTATAGAAAGGGAAACTGTCAGGAAGACAGATAAAGGCTGACAATTGGGAGTTTTCAGAGCTGGGTGTGGCGATATGAGATGGATGGAAACAGTTGATTTTTCTCTCATTGAGGTAGAAATTATTGTTAAAAATACACTGAAGAACTGATCTGTGAAACTGAACTCTTCATCCCAGTGCCTTCAGATCCTAGGGGCCAGGACGGACCTGGGCTGTAGAACAATTTAGCTGAAAATGTAGCATTGTATATTCAGAACACACTGATGATGTAATCCCATACAGCGTGAAACTAGAAGGTTCCTTGGAGATTAGCTAACACTCTTGCAGATGAAACCAAAGCCCCAACAGATATGAAGCTGATTTAGCAGGCCCACCATCTTCGTATTTGCATCTAAATATGTGAATTTTCCCCCCAAATCCTGTCATTTCAACTACATAATTAAAGTGATGCTTCTAATCAAGTTCCTTCTGAAGTTAATTACAATAAATGTATTAATGCCTGCCAGTTGAAGAAAGTAACTCATCCCACCCCCAGATGGATTCATATTAGATACAGTGCAAAGCATATAAGATGTTCATCCTTTCTACCCATTGATCTTTGTAGTATCTGCAAAAGAAATCATGAGCCTGAAGTGTTACATAAAGTAAAATATACACTGAAAAACTTTAAAAAGATAAATTTATTTTTATCATGGGACAGTTAATTTGAGGAATATTTTATCTAACTCAAAATGTGCTGTCTCCTTTAGTTTTCACTTGGAGGGACCATAGGTGTAGAAAATACAGGCAGATTAAGTTGTTCGGTGCAACACTCATTTTTGCGAAGATTTATGAAGCGCTACTTAGGATGCCTGTATTTTGTAATAATCCTAAATATCTTTTGCAGTCGCTCTTTTCCTGATCTGTTCAGTACGTGGGAGAGATGAGACCCTCTAGATCCTTCTTAACTCAGTCCTAACCAAATGTAGGCATTAGAAAACCTTCAATTCCCTTTTTAAGATTAAAATCCTTACATTGGCTAAGGCTATGTAGTTGAGAGTGGGCAATTTTCTGATCAAAAGGCACGTTATTTTTTGCATTAGTTCAAAGCTTTTCCAAAGCCACACGTCCTTTACCCTTTTTATAATGCCGTGAGACCTATTAAAATAGAACAAGGCAAACAACTTTCCCTTTCTTGAAAACTTTTATTAAATTCTCTTCTAAGCTTCCACTTGAAGGTTTCCTGCTCAACAGGTTTCCTGGCATAAATGGTCCTTTATAATAAATTGCCAAGAGGTCCTCCCTATGTGCAGGAAACCGAAGTTCAGCTTTATTTTTGGCTCTCCAAGTTTATGTGTATTAAATTAGACTATCTGTTACTCTGGTGTTTACCCCAATGGGAAAAAAGAGACTGCAGAGTGAGGAAGGGAAGTTAGATCCAGTCTGCACTGCAGGTCCTTCTGTGCGGTTAATTCACTAGTATGCCATCAGAGCTGGGAATTTCAGCAGTTTTACAAAGGAGATGTTTCACAGAAGCCAGAAGCCCAGTTTGTTTTGTTTGGGCCTAGACAAGACCTTGCCATGAGTTTACTATGGTTTAGCTATGAATTGTTGATTCAAAAGGAAGCCATAAGAGGAACAAGATAGCATTTTTGTTGATCTTAAAAGCATTTAAAAGTGAAGTGTTCTGAAATCTGCAAATTATTTTTAAATGGTTTAGCAACAGTACATACCTTCATACATACATTTGTGGAGAGAAAAACTTGGAAGTGAGAAAAGGATGGGAAAATGTTTTCAATGCAGCAAAATGTTAGCAGTTCTTCAAACAAGTGGGTAGATATGTGGGATTTCATAGTACTTGCCTTTTAACTTTTAAAAATATTTTATAATAAGATTAATTATTTTAAAAGTCTGTTTAGTGCAGAATAGTAACAGGTTTCTGCTAAATCCTTTGTCTTCCACAAAGGTGGCAATTGGGCTTTTTTGTTCTCTTCCCTGCTCCCCTCCTGCACATACCAGAATCCTCCTGCTAGCATGTGAGAGAAAATGGTTTGTATTTGGAAACAGAAACTCAAATAAGTATGAAGTTGGATAGTTTTCTGTTTGTCAGTAAAAGATAGAAACATGATTATAAACATGGCAAATGGAGAAGCAGGAATAGTTTAGGGTATGATACTATAGAATAGATTCCATGTAGGAAAACGTGCATTCAGTAAACTAGATATTTTTTCTCCCTCATTTTTCTCCACTGTTAATTTCTAAGTTGATATTTTCTGTGTAGCTATTTTGAAAGTACAAAGGAAATTAAACTCCAAAATAAGACACTATTTAGCTTAATTATGATAACTTGCTGTGCAGTTTTTTGCCCTTTCCTCATAAATTGGCGGATACTAGACTATTCTGTACTACAACTCTAGAGTTCTAAAAATTTAGCATCTTGTATCTTTATTTTGATAATTTAAGACTGCTTAAACATACATCGGCACTCTGGTAATTTTTAGTAACTCAATCTAAAAAGATAATTATGAGATGGCCAAGTTAACCCTAATTCAGACTTCTTTTCGGTGCTGGAGGTTGACCCCAAGGCTATATCCCCCACAGTGAGCTACATCCCCAGCTCTTTATTTTTTGAGACTGT